GACTCAGTAACAAGACTCGCGACGTAGTCGAGACGACTCCTAGCAGCAAAGTCGACTAGCTCAGTGACTAGGGCATATGCAGCAGTAGACTCAAAGTCAGGGTCCGTGACAATAGTAGCGAGGAGACAAGTGACAGTAGGACTGGCAGTACGAGCAAGATCAGACACAGGGTCAGGATCGTGCGGAAGAGAGGACGCGGGAGGCTCAGGCAGGACAACACGCTGTGGAACAGAGGAAGGACGAAGTGCCATACCGTGAGTGCCTTGGACAGTCGGAGGACGAGGACGACGAACACAAGGAATACGAGCACAGACAGAACTCTAGTCTCAGGCTCTCGACACTCAGGAGTGGAAGCACGAGTCCCAGGCTCTCGACGCTCTGTCTGGGACTCTGTCACAGCAGTGTGAGGAGCAGGAGAAGGCAATGGGGAGTGAGGGAGTAGCTGTGGCTGAGACAGGTCTGCTGGTGGGAACAGTAAGGGCGGAGTTGTACCAGCGACAGGGAACTCAATAGGAGCTGGCGGAAGGCCGAGAAGGTGGTGAAGTGCACTAGCAGGCCCACCAGCAGCAACTCCAGCACCTCCAGCACCTCCAGCACGAGCAGCTCCAGCACCTCCAGCAGTACTTCAAGTTTCTCAAGTACCAGCAGCACCTCCAGCACTAGCATCTCCAGCACCTCCAGTACCAGCAGCACCTCCAACACTAGTAGCTCCAGCACCTCCAGCAGTACCTCCAGTACCTCCAGTACCATCAGTACCTCCAATACTAGTAGCTCCAGCACCTCCAACACCAGCAGTACCTCCAGCACGAACAGCTCCAGCACCTCCAGCAGTACCTCCAGTACCTCCAGCACCAGCAGCACCTCCAACACTAGCAGCACCAGCACCTCCAGCACCAGCAGTACCTCCAAGACTAGCAGCTCCAGTACCTCTAGCACCAACAGCTCCAGCACCTCCAGCAGTACCCCCAGTACCTCCAGCACCAGCAGCACCTCCAGCACTAGCAGCTCCAGCACCTCCAGCACCAGCTGTACCTCCAGGACTAGTAGCTCCAGCACCAGCAGCTCGTCTAGGGGTACCTCTAACACCAGCAGGACCGAGCCCTCCACCACCAGGACTGCTACGCCAAACGATCCACGCACGAATCTGCTACGGCGAGAGCGTCTCAAGTAGATCAAACTGCGGTGGCTGTCCAGCTCCAGGACCTCCAGCAGGGTCACCCACAGCTCCACCGCCACTAGGACTCGCAGCACCCCCAGAACTAGCACCCCCAGTCGCGGCACCCCCAGAACCCTCACCCTCTGTCTCAGCACCCCCAGGCTCAGCACCAGCAGTCTCAGCTCCAGAGGAGTCAGAAGAGATCTCCATAGGCTCATCCAAGGGGGGTGGGTTGACCTGAGACACACCTGAGGGAGCAGGACCCTGCGAGGGGAGTGGGTCTACCAGAGGGGGACTGGTACCAAGAAGAAAGGCGCGAGGGGGACCGGGTGGGACGCATGCGGGTGTAGCCTGTAGTAACAGACAGACTCGTCAAACGTGACGTCCTGGGAGGAGAAGACTCGACGCGAGCGCGGGTGGTAGAACTGTCACGGCGAGGCGTCGGTGGGGAAGCCAAGGAAGACGCAGCGGAGAGTGCGAGGGGAGAGCTTGCTTGCGGTGGTATCGCGAACAAGGGAGAGGGCGCCCCAAACCCAAAACACCAACGCATCGCCGATTTCTCCCGTCCAACGGAGTGTGGGCGATGTCTTTGGCAAAGAGACACGGGGCCAGAGGTTGAGCTGATGCGCAGCGTATCGGAGTGCAAACGGTTACAGAAAATGGGGAGCAGCCGCATGGATCATGGAGGTACGAGCAACCTCCATGATTAAGCCAATGCGACGCTCAGCAATCCCATTTTGCTGCGGAGAGGCCAGAAGCGTGAACGACTGGCGGATGCCCTTTTCTCGACAGAACTCCGCAAGGAGGTCAAAAGAGAACTCACCGCCCCTGTCAGAGTGCAGACGCAGGATTGAGAAGTCCCGACGAAACCGCTCGCGCAACTGGCGACGAGTAGCACGGATCCAGGGGATCAAAATACCGCTGACGTTTGCCTTGCACCGCAAGGGGAAGACAGTGGTGTAGCGTGTGTAGTCGTCAACAACCAGCAGGAAGTTGCGCTCCTGGTTTGTTCCACCGACGGGGGCCGGGCCCCAAACGTCCATGTGGAGAGTCTGCAGAGGAGCAGTGGTCGGAGGAAAATCAGAGGAGTGAGGAGCGGCGCACAGCCACCCCTCAACGTAGGGAAGGCACGGCGGGGCAGGCAAGCACGGGAGGGAGGGTAGGGACCTGGGAAGGCCAGAGACAAGGAGACGGGAGTGCATGCTGCGGAGACGCGGCAGGGAGGGGTGACAAAGGCGGTGGTGCCAGAGGAGAGTCTGGTGGGGGAGTACCTGACACGAGCAAGACGCTGCAAGCCGACCAGACGCAGACATCCGACTCAACGCAGCCACCTGACCTGACTCAGCCACCTTTGCAGACGCAGTGGTCAGTGTGTACAGACTAGACCCAGGCCGTCGAGTGAACATAGCAAGGAAGAACGTACAGATCGCCACACACTGCCCTCCATGAATAAAGGTATCAATCCAGACATCCTGAATGGCAGCGTTGCGCAGCAAGTTCGTCGAGAACGTAGGGAGGTGGAGACTTGACAGAGTAACGGAAAGGACTGCTGGACACGGGTGGACAGCGGAGGCTCGTGCGACCACTGGGTCCCTAGTGGGGTCAGCCAGTGAGACTGGTGCAGCAAGTGGTGTGACTGTGGTGCAATCACGAAAGAAGCAACGTGTCGCGCCGGAGTCAAGTGTGAAAGTGTGCAAGGCCTCAGCTTAAGCAGGACCTGTGGTAGTAGACGCAATAGCACCTAAAGTGTCACTTGTCTCACGAGCACCTAGAGCTGCAGCAGACTCACTAGCACCTGAAGCAACAGCCTCTACACAACCAGGGATACACCCTGATAAGCACAGTTGCTCTGCGGAAGCTGCTGCCGCTGCTGTGCAGTACCCATAAAACCTAAACCTCCACCACCAGGACTGATTTGCTAAAGAACCCACTCACGAAGCTGCTGAGGGGTGGGGTCGTCCGGGAGAGGCAGTGACCGCTGCTGTCCACCCCTAGCCGCTGCAACTACCTTGATAGTGGCCATGACAGGTAGTGACGGTCAGTAGCAGGTCCAGCACCTCCAGCACCAGCAGCACCTCCAGCACTCCCAGCAGCACCTCCACCAGTAGCAGTAGTAGCACGAGCAGCAGCAGCAGCAGTAGTTGCAGCAGCAGCAGCAGTAGTTGCAGCAGGGCAGCTCGGTGGGGCTGGTGAATGAGGCAAGGCGGCACGGCTCGGGTTGGGCAGGGTGGCTCGGGCTGGGCGGCGCAGCTCGGCAGGGCTGGGCGGCGCGGCTGGGAAAGGCAGGGCTCGCCGCGGGGTGCAGGGCAGGGCGCGCGCTGGGCAGAGCAGCAGGGCGCGACGCGCGGGCTGCAGGGCGTGACGTGCGGGCTGCAGGGCGCGACACGCGGGCTGCAGCTGGGCGCGACGCGCGGGCTGCAGCAGGGCGCGACGCACGGGGCAGCAGGGCGTGACGCACGGGCTGCAGTAGGGCGCAACGCGCGAGGCAGCAGGGCGCGACACACGAGGCAGCAGGGCGCGACGCGCGAGGCAGCCGGGTGTGCGGGGCAGGGGCTGCTCGCGGGCAGCAGTGGCGTGCGGGGCAGGGGCTGCTCGCGGGCAGCAGGGGCGCGCGGGGCAGGGGCTGCTTGCGGACAGCAGTGGCACGCGGGGCAGGGGCTGCTCGCGGGCAGCAGGGGCGCGCGGGGCAGGGGCTGCTCGCGGGCAGCAGGGGCACGCGGGGCAGGGGCTGCTCGTGGGCAGCAGGGGCGCGCGGGGCAGGGGCTGCTCGCGGGCAGCAGTGGCGCGCGGGGCAGGGGCTGCTCGCGGGCAGTAGGGGCGCACGGGGCAAGGGCCGCTCGCGGGCAGTAAAGGCGCGCGGGGCATTAGCCGCTCGCGGGCAGGAGGGGCGCGTGTCACAGCTGGGCAGTGCGCTAGGGCAGGCAGTGTGAGTAGCTGCAGGGCAGCGCTACACAGAGTGAGCAGGGCCGGACAGCGCAGGGGCGCTTCGGGCAGGAGAGAGAGGAACTACCGGTGGGCCCTAAAAACCTAACAGGTTACCTGCTCTGAATACTATGTCAGAATAACTGTGCAGGAATGGTTGGATTAGCAAGAGTTGGGGTACAAGTACTAACCCTAGAAGTGTTGTACCCCATAAGGAGTGCCCCACTATAGCCTACAAGTAAGATTGTACTTTGACACTCAACTAGACGCAAATCCGCTCAGTAGGATTGTGCGCCATAGGCTCAGCTACCATCTCCAATAAAATTACTTGGAAAGATGGTCTATCGAGTGAGAACCAATTGAAAACGTCCAGCAGCCGCATGACTAGAATAGTGGAGGAAGTACAAACATTAAGACATAGAAAGTTGGAGTTGGGGACTCCAAGATAACTATGAGAGGGATGGGGTTCTCCAGGAGCTAGGGAAGGAAGGTAGGATCCTTCTTAGCAGCAAGGATGCAACCCTCATCATGAGGTCCTTGAGGTGTCACATGCGAAATCCAATCTAGTTGGATTTTGCGTAGGTGTTGCAACATTTGCAACCCATGCTAGAAACTTCTAGCCACCCCAATCCATAAGTCAAATTTGCCTTCCTAACCATCCATTTATAGTCATGTCCCAATAATCGCCCAACGTAGATAATATCTCAAATGAGATAGGATTCCCAAAACTTGGAAATCTTGTTTGGGCAATCTTGGTCGGAATAAGGCGATCTTGGTATCGTTGGAAAGCTCTCGATTTCTCCTAATAAAGCATGTAAACTTCGAGAAAAACACAGAGATGATAATGTCCAACAGCCATGCATAATGATATGTGCCCATGCAAATAATGCAAGCACAAATGTCACGAGCACTCGGCAGGACGTTAGGATGACATGCACTCACTGCGCATGGGTGAGCTCACTGTGCCGTCGTCATTCTCATTCACAGCGCTCCTGGAATGGAGAGAAGGGGGAGGGGGGAGGGAGGACATGGGGAAGGGAAGCAAGATGACATCCCCGACGCCTCACTGGGCGTGGGCGAGCTCACCCGTGCCGTCATCGTCCTCATTCACGGCGCTCCTAGAATTAAGAGAAGGGGGCGGGGTGAGGGGGGGAATGGGGAAGGGGAAGCTAGATGATGTCCTCCCGACGCCCCACTACGCGTCGGCAAGCTCAGTGGGGCGCTCACTCGTACCATCATCGTCCTCACTCCCAGCGCTCTTAGGGAATGGGGGAGAGGGGAAGGGGGAGAGGGGATGGGGGAGCAGAAATAGAGAAGACATGGGCAAGGGAAAGTGGTATGGAGTCTGATTGTAATGGGCTCACTGAGAGTAGTCGAGCTCACTTTGCCATCATCCTCATTCACATCACTCTAGTGGAGGGAGAGAGAGGTGAGAATGGGGGACCCTAAAGAGGGGGGTGGGGGAGGGGGGGGGGGGGGGGGGGGGGGGGTGGGGAATGGATTGGAAGATGGAGTTTGAAGTCTTATTGTGTTTCGCTGAGTGTGGGCGAGCTCACTGTGCCATGCCATCCTTGCTCATGGCACTGCTGGGAGAGGGGGTTTATGGAAAGGGGATGGAGAGGGAGAAATGCGGGAACTAAAGGGGGATTAAGTCCCCAGGAAAGGGTGTTGCTGCGTGTGGGCGGGCTCAACGTGCGTTGCCATCCTTGCTCAGCCATCCTGGGGGAGAGGGGATTTAGGAGGGGGGGTGGAGAGGGAGGGTGGAGAGGGAGAAATGCGGGAACTAAAGGGGTATTAAGTCCTCAGGAAAGGGTGTTGCCGTGTGTGGGCGAGCTCACCGCATGCAAATTGCTCCGCTGTTTTGCTTCCCAAATGAACACATGTCTTACCCAGTCTCCATGTTCAGCCCTCCATGGGCCCTAGCACTTCGACCTCGGGTGCGGAGGGAGACATCCGGGCGGCAAGCGATGGATGTAGCGGGGCGGCGCTCGGCACGGCCACACGCACAAGGTTGCTGATGTGATTTTCGTTGTCCGTTGCAGCTTCCTCCTTTTCTTTAAACTGTGTGGTCGATAGGACAAGACGGGGAGAGAAGAGACTCATAAGATGGGTGGGAAGGAAAATGAATGCTATCGCATGCGTACGTCAAAGTCCCATGACCCACCTCTGCTCCCCCTTGAAGTACAGAAGCGCATGCTTTTCCTCTATCACGCACTTGAACAGTAGTAGCATCGATGCGTGTATGCATGTGTACCAGAAACAAAAGGCCCCACGACACCCACTTCTCCCCCGTGTTGTAAGCATGCAGCTTTTCTATCAATAATTTCATTAGCAGCAGCAGCTTAACACAAATACGCACATGCATGTGCGTATTTGTGCACCGGGTTTGAAACGGGTTCCCGTGCCGCATGGTCGAATTTCGCTGTATTAAGGGATTGTATCCCTTGGAATACATGGCTAGTTAGGAAGTTTCGTTTTACTCTTTCCTATATAAACGAGATGCATGCATGCTTTAAGTATCTCAATCATTTCCATTCATTCTAACCTGAGGCCACTACTTCCGCTGCAATTCTACCTCCGTTCAACCCTGAGCCGATCTCTGGCTAAGTCTTGTTTAGGATTATAACAAGTATATCGCGAACACTACAGCATAAACTGCTACGATAAAAGGAGCTCATGGCCCAATGTATAGTGCACAGTATTCAAAACTACTCAACATGCGCACATTATGGAAAGGGTATTACTGTAGTATACGATTTTTTTTCATGGTTCATCATAAATAATTATGAAAGTAAAATTTGGCCAGATCTATCTTAAAGCGTTGCTTCGCAACCCAAAAAATATAATAACTACCGTATCACCCCGGATATAAGCGCATGCCTATGTTAAAACCCGCGTCTCATATTTCCTAGTGTATTACGCTTGGTTGGGCTAAAGCGCCTGTGATTGGATAACGATCGGCGAGATTTGTGACGAGCAGTTTGGAAAGCACGGACGAACCCACAGTTCGTCCACGGAAAAGCCAACCGAACCCCCAGGCATGGAAAGCTTCCACACCTAGAAACTGCTCCGGCAGGGTCGCAATTCCATGCGACCAACTGAAACGACAGGATACAACTCGCCCAGCATCACACGAAAAGGCAGAGCAAAACTCTCATCCGAGAATCTTAGTACATGGTTGCTCGTCATGTCCCTCCGCGAGCAAGATGGAGCTCCTGCACAAAATCCACTAATATAGCACCCTATTAGATCGCACTCCGGACCTCGATACATGTGACCAGCGAATACATTTACAAGCGAAAAAGGAGGATGGAAAGGAGGATGGCTAAAAGGAAAGGAGGATGCGGGGAAGCGATGGGGGGTGAGGAAAGCGAAAGGGGAAGGCGAGTGAGGGGAAAGGGGGATACGGGGAAGGGATGGGGGATGGGGAAAGGGAAAGGGGGAAGGGAAGGGGAAGGGAAAGGGGAGTGCGAGTCAGGGACGGGGGATGGGGTAAGGGAAGGAGGATGGGGAAAGGGAAAGGGGGATGAGGGAAGGAAAAGGGGGGTGCGGGAAGGGAAAGGGGATGTGGGAAGAGAATTGGGGGATGGGGGAAGGGAAGGGGGATGGGAAAAGAGAATTGGGGTGGGGGAAGGGAGGGAAAGGGGGATGCGGGAAGGAAAGGTGAGGAGGTTGGGGGTGGGGCTGGGGTGTGGGAGTGTGAGGTGGGGAGGGTGAGTGCTGTGGTGGCGGCCATGAGTGTGGAGAGTCCTTACCTTCTCCATATGCCCTCCTCTCTTCTCATTTCCCCTACTATGCCACCCCATCTCCTGTCCTGTCCTTTCCCTTCTCATCCCCCTTCCCACACTGCCCAGCTGGCCCCCCTTTCCTTCCAATCTAGCATCGAATTGTATCCGCGCCCATCGTCCCTGCTAATGCTCTCTGCCACTGCACTGTGCACCTGCCTGCCCACATTCTTCAAGGCTCGTTCTTATCATATCCCCTCCAACTCCCCTCACATTCGGGGGGAGGTGGGGGAAGGAGGCAGGGAGGGAGGGCGGAAGGGAGGAATGGAAGAAGGGAGGGCCGAAATGGGGGTGCGGGGATGCGGGGAAAGGGGATGCGGGGAGGGGGGTGCGGGGAAGGGGGATGCGGGGAAGGGGATGCGGGGAAGGAAAAGGGGAATGCGGGGAAGGAAAAAGGGGGTGCGGGGAAGGGAAAGGGGGACGCGGAAAGGAAAGGGGAATGCGGGAAAGGGAAAGGGAGATGCGGGGAAGGGAAAGGGGGATGCGGGGGAGGGAATGCGCGGGGGCGGGGAAGAGGAAGAGGAATGCGGGGAAGGGAATGCGCGTCTAGCCCCGTTCCCTCCCGCCTGACCCGCCCCACCCCGCCGCATTCACTCCCGCCCCATTCCGACTTGTCCAGTCTCCTCCCGTCCCGTTCCCTCCCGTCACGTCCTGTCCTGTCGCGTCTCCTCTCGTACCATCACGTCCCTCCCACCGCGTTCCGGCCCGTCCCATCGTAGTCCAGTCGCGTTCTCTCCCGTGCGTCTCTGTGCGTCTCCTCTCGTCCCGCTTCTGTGTCAATTTCTATCACAATCTCCTTCTTTTCCGAACGCGCCCACCCCCACAAAATCGCAGCCAGGAAAATCTGCGCGTCAGCGGCGGCGACGGTTCCGCCGATGCCTCTCCCTCTCCGCTTCCGCCGATGCCTCTCCCTCTCCGCTTCCGCCGATGCCTCTCCCATGCCGCTTCGGCAGATGCCGCTCCACTACCGCTTCCGCTCTCAATATGCTCGCCTAACCTCCCTTCCATCCCGTAGCCCATATCTTCCTCCCCGTCTCGCGTCCCTCCCTGTCAATCTCTTCGCGCCTCTTCCTTTCCGGTCGCATCTTCACAGATTCTTCCTTCCGTCTTTTATCGTACCGTTTTGCATGCCCTGATATTGAAATGCTATGCTGTCCCTAACCCCATTCCGCTCCTGCGTTTTCTTCTCCTGTGTTTCACGCATCCCGTAGCTGTACGATCGACCCTGTGAATCGATCGCCCATCCCTAAGTAGATCAGCGTGAAATGTGACTCGCCCTGGAGGTGGAACGTGCGTGGCATTGCCTCTGATCTGAATAAGAAAAGCCATGAACAGTCAATAGCCTAAACTAAGTCGTAAGACAAGGACTGGCCCAAGTAGTGGTTGTGTGAAGGTCAATACATGGGCCAGCAGCATAGGATTGATTCGGAGTCTCATATTTTTCAGTCGGGGTAATACGCTTGCTTCAGTGTTCTCTACCTTCGTCGCTGAAGGTGGTGTGTTTCTCGCAAATACGGTTGGGTAGTCGTGCATCTGCCTTGCCCAACCTCATTGGGCTTCAACCAATCACAGGTGCTCCCAACCGAACTTCACAAAGTTGCGACTGATTTGAGTGGTTACCCGGTTTCGAGGGTAATACTCTCGGTTGGAAGGAAGAAACATGAGACGCAGGTTTTAAGCGCATGCGCTTGTATTTGGAGCAATGCGCTTATGGTCATTCCTCATTTATAAGCGCACCCCTCTAGAATCCATTATTATATGCGCACCCTTCTTCTATATTTCATGGTTTTAAGATTTGTTCTTTTTTTCCTTTACATTTCACTGCAAGCCCTACAGGGCTTACATCGTAACTCCACATATATTTCACTAACATGGCACATTTTCCACAAGTTTCGCCACTACGAAACGGGGTTATCTATCTAATCTAGCATAAGGGAGGTCAATCCTACTCGCAAGCTTCTTCGCTGCCGTCCAGTGCGTTGTTGATGCCGCACGTAAAAAATGCCTTTCTGATGAGGTCGGCGGGCACGGACTTCCAGGCTTTCGAAATCCACTTGAGAACGACCGCGGGAGGCGGTTCCTTGATGTTACCTGCACGAGGATCAAACGGAAGGGGAGAACAGGTTAGAACATTAGGGCGGGGGAAACCAAGGAACTCACGAATGGTTACGAAACCGTGATTCTCACCTGCGGCTATCAAGGTGTTCATGCCCTCTTGCTCGAACCCGGCCTGGTACAGCTGCCGCACCGAGGCCTTGAAGCTTTTGTTGATGGCCACATCGCAGGGCTGCACCTCTGCCGTGCATCCCGCCGGGATCACCGCGGGGACGATGTTGTACTGCGCGAACTTCTTATTGATTTCGGGCGTCAGGTGACCTCGGTAGGATTCGAGAACGAGGAAAGCACCCCTCGGCTTGATGGCGGCACCACAGCCTTGTCGAGCCATTCGATCAAGCCCTCGGCTTGATGGCTTGCTGCCATCCATCCGTTCTCTTGAACGCCGACCACCACACCTGCGTAATAAGAGACGGTCGAAAAGTTTAGAGCTAAAAAACACAACACGTCAAGAGCAGAGCGATGATATTATCGTTGGGGAAGTCGCCCTTCGGCACGGTCTTGCGCTTGAAAAACACCCACAACTTTGGCTTCTCCCCCGTTTCTGTGCACGCCAGCATCACGGTGACTCGTTCTTTATGGTACCCACGTCCGTCTGCTCCACGGCGGTTTTCGCCGGCATCTCCAGCCACAATGGTGTATGGTCAGCGTTGATGATGAAGCGATTGTCGATCTCATACTTATGTCGCGCTTCACGCACGAACGTCCAAAACTCCTTGCACTGGCTCGCGATGTCTGCGCAAGGGGATAAAATGACAAGGCGGTAGACGGATTAGTAAGAGGAGAACACAGATTATAGTGCAATCAGGACAACAAGAACACAGCCAATTCCTTGAAATTAAAGAAAAGAAGGCACTTACGTTCCTGGATTTTCTGCGCCACCTTGGTTTTCATGCACACGCTGGGATTACAGCGCTTGCGGAACCGCTCTGACCATCGCTGACCCCCTTTCCACTTCACTTTTGGGAAGAAAGCTTTCATCACCTCTCACGACCACACTTGCAGACGACCGACCGAAACTGCAACACCACGGCCCGGTCAGTAGTGGAGTTGCGCGTAGACTTTTATCTCCATCGGACGGTACCACGAACCTCTCCCGTGACCATGAAGTTGTTTCCATGCGCTGTAAGCGTCCTTAAGCAGGTCCGCCAGCTGCTTTCACTCGTTCAGGCACTTTTGGTGGATGCCGGACTCCCGCGCCACCTTGCTAATCGATGCTGCAAGGTCCAAGCGCACGAGCCACTTGAGCTTCTCCTGGGCGGTGTATGTCAGATTATAATGCTTGTCTAGCCTGCAGTGGGGTACTCTGTAGTGAGTACGGCCCCTTAGGGTTTCTTATTTGTATCCCAACTGTTGCTAGTCAAACCCTCTCCTTTGCTCGATTCTCTCTTGCCTAGCTAGGTAAACCCTAGCTATGGCTCCTCCTTGTGCCTACTATTGTGACATGGTTTCAGAGCATTTACGCTCCTGGCCTGTGGGCCCACCAACTGCTTCCGCTGTCGTTCTGTTTGTCGCGTGCCCCGTGGTGTGCGACGTGTTATTTTCTTTCCGCCACGCGCTCCGAGCGCGTGGCGGCTTTTTCTGCCCGCCGCGCGCTCGGGGCGCGTGGCGGTTTAACCGTCCGTCGAGGCGCCTTCAGGGGGCCCGTGCGCTGCCCCCCGTCGCCCGTCGCGGCGTCTTCAGGGGGCCCGCCCGCTGCCCCCTCCCGTCACCCGTCGTGGCGCTCTCGTGGGGGCCCGCGCGCGGCCCCCTCCCGTCGCCCGTCGTGGCGCCTCGGGGGCCCGCGCGCCGGCCCCTCCCGTCGCCTCGTCGCGGCGCCTTGGGGGCCCGCGCGTCCCCCCCCTCCCGTCGCCTAGTCGCACCACCTTGGGGGCCCGCGCGTCGCCCCCTCCCGTCGCCTCGTCGCGGCGCCTTGGGGGCCCGCGCGCCGCCCCCTCCCGTCGCCTCGTCGCGGCGCCTTGGGGGCCCGCGCGCGGCCCCTCCCGTCGCCCGTCGAGCCGCCCTCGGGGGCCCGTGCGCGGCCCCCCTCCCGTCACCAGCCGTGGCGCCCTCGGGGGGCCCGCGCCCTGCTCCTTCGTGGCGCCCAGGAGACCCCCCCCGCCTCCTCCCTTTCCCTCCGTGAACCACCCCTGCTGCTTCCCGCGCTCCTACCTGCGTTAGGGTTTGGGGGTGGCGGGCATGGGGGTGAACGGTGTGGGTAACCTGCAGCTCCTCCTCCTCCGTCTCCCACTGCTGCAGCTGCCGCTGAGGGGGGTGGGTGTGTGGGAGCCGAGGGTTTAGGGTTTAAGGGGGGTGCCGTGGGAGTGGAGCTAGGGTTTCAGCAGGGGGTGTGTGAGAGGGGTGTGGGACAGTTGGGGGAAGTTGAGCGGAGGCAGCAGTCGTGTCGCCAGCAGCGCCAGTAGTCCGGAGGCTACAATCTCCGGTAGTCGCCAGTCGCCTGTGGGTCAGTTGCTCCGGTCAGGAGGCTACAATCTCCGCGGAGCCAGTTACTCCTGTAGTCCAGGCCATTGCTTCGGTAGCCACTGAGCCAGCCGCTCCTGTGTGTCTGCAGCTTCCACCGTCGCCTCCCATCTCCTCTCCTCTCATAGTCACTCCTCCTCCTCACTTGCCCTCTGCGACTGCCTCTAGTTTTACTTGTGCTTGTGAACCTACTGTATGACTGCTTGCTGTGCTGATGATACACCACTTTGACTATGGGGGTGTGTCAGATTATAATGCTTGTCTAGCCTGCAGTGGGGTACTCTGTAGTGAGTACGGCCCCTTAGGGTTTCCTATTTGTATCCCAACTGTTGCTAGTCAAACCCTCTCCTTTGCTCGATTCTCTCTTGCCTAGCTAGGTAAACCCTAGCTATGGCTCCTCCTTG